TATTTCCAACGGGTCGGATGCTAATTCACCGGATGGTTTAACAGTGGGTGGGAAGTTAGTGGAGCAGAAGTTACGGGAGACTGCCTTAGCGAGTGACCAGAACGTCCGGCTTCCGGAAGGAGCGGTCGCCAATTGTGCTGCTTTGCGCTCAACAAAGTGCTGTTTAGCTTTCTGTATGATGGTTACACATTTGTTACGTGCTAATAAGAACCATCGGCGGGAGCTGGAGGAAGGTGACCAACGCCAGCGGCGGAACGCTGATTTCTTTTTACGAACAGCGCGACAAAATGCGTGGTTGAACCATTCTAGAGGAAGAGGCTTGCCGAGTTTAGTGAAATGAGGAATAAATAGGTGCCATGCAAAAGGACTTTGAAGAAATTTGAAGCAAAGGTGGAGACATCTGTGGAAAAGCAACACTCATTCCATGGGTAGGAAACCAGAACGGTACGAAAGCTGCACCAATCAGAGGAACCATATCGCCAAAATGTGCGTNGCCAAAATGTGCGTCTAGAATTGGGCGGCGGAGCATTAGATCAAATAATGTGGGTAGAGAGTAAAATAAGACAATGGTCCGATGAGCCTAGGGGAGGAATAGCAGCAATATTTGAAAATAGTTGTGGGCTGGATGTGAGGTCAAGATCGAGGGTATGAGCGTGGTCGGCAGCACGGTCAGGGATGCGGGTCGGGAAATCAACCAGTTAGTGGAGGCTGTTCACTAGGGCACATGATTATGCTTCACGTCCAAGGTGCGAAGTCCCTGTTATGGACATTAAAATCACCCAAAATTGTAAACTGAGCGTTGGAGTCTGTTTCAACAATGCTATCTATGTTTGCTGCTAGAGCATCAAAGAGTGAAGGGTCACTACTCTTTGGGGAACGGTACACAGTGCAGAAGTAGTGATTGAAAGAGGGGAACCGAATTTTCAGCCACAGATTCTTGAACTCGCGGTTGGTGAGATATGAGTGGGAGAACTTGATAGAAACAATTGAATGATGGATGAAAGCACAAACACCAGCTTTGGGGATGAACGAAGTGTAAACGGAATAATTGGAAACTGATGATGCGTGGTGTCTGTAGAAGCGGAAAGTTGTGTTTCGGATAAAAATAGAGCAAGAGGGGAAGTGGATTGAAAAAATTGATGTACAGAATCAATATAATGGTTCAAGCCGCGAACGTTAGTGAGTGCGATTGTCGATTGAGAGTGCGCTTGAGAATTGTTCCTGTTTGTTGTAGTATTCACGTTGAGATGAGAGAGTACCCGCAACCTGGCCCTGGAACTTGTATTGGCGAACCACATAAGGCTCCGATGGCTAGGCGGTAGTACTGACCCGGACGACGGAAGGACCGTCTTGTCCCATCTTTCGGTACTATTTGCTTAGAGTTTACGCTTTCGCACTCCATCGCGTTGTTGTATACTAAAAGAGACTGTTATTGGGTGGTGGTGCATTGGTTTAGTCACTGTCACCGGTGTGTTTTCGACCCTAAGATCCAAGCTTGGAACCTCATCACCGTTTCATTACTACGCCTAACCTAGCGAGGCGAGGCTTAGATTGCCGGTTTTCATTACTAAACGGCAGGTTTTCTGGGCTTTGGGTTCCATTCCGTTTGCTGTTTATCACACAAAACATGTGTAGTAAGAGTTTTACTTGATGGTCACTTTCTTTGGGATATCATTGGATCGGTGACACTGACGTCGAAAGTAGGTAACTTCGTGAATGATGCTAGCCATTGTTAAATGAACGTAATGTTCGTGGAGAGTAACAGGCAGAAAATGTTTTCCCCGTTGCCGTCGACGAAGACCTGGCGTTTTTTCACACGTTCATGTTAAACAACGGGTAGGCGGATCATTGATGATGTAATGAACTAGGGTAGGCTCTGTGATGTATCCCAGCACACGCCTAACTTATGGTTGCAAATCGTAACTTGAACAAAAAGAAAGTGTGTGAAGTAGTGTTTCTATGTATCGTATCGGTTCACTTTTCTCAGCTCTTGTCTCTTGAAATGAATTTGTCCTCCATCGACAGAAACAACCATGAAGGTGATCGTTTCTAAACAGTTTGTGCCTTCTTTGTTCTCTTGCGTATGCATACTAGGAGGATCCGGGAATTCGTGCTTCGTTCTATCGACAGATCAGTCCTCTGGTTAGCCTGGTAGGTGCACAGTCAGTCAGCGTAATTCACCCGCTCCTCGAACAAGGCCTAATCGATCCGGATGAGACAGTTATTGAAGCCTGCATGCAAGCGCTCACGCATCTGCTCCGTCAGTCGTTGCTCAGTGCACCGATAGCAGTTTCATTCCTCTCACGTGCGCTCGCACTAACAGCTCATCCAACGGTCCGATTGCGTCAGAGTGCTGTGGCGTATATTACTTGCTTTGCACGTCGTGCCGTACGATCTAAAAATCCGATTAACAAAGAGAATATACCGGACGGGACCGGCATTCATGAGGTGAACACGAAATCTCGATTTCAATGGTCTGGTCTGTGCAGTCCAGCCAGTGTTTATGCTCGACTGACGAAGCTGGAGGTTTCGGAAACCTTTTTCAAGTGAGTGACTTCGTTGTCTTTTTATTTTTGTTGAAGAAAAGTAGCTGATGCATGTATTTCTTGACCCGCGCGTGTAGCAGTCAAAATTTTTTGTAGTTAGTGAAATGATAACAGTCAGACGAAGGCAAGTCTGCTAATACTAGTGAATGTAGCGAAAACAGTAGGGGTGGAAACTTAGCCTCATTTGAGAAGCCTTCCGTATGTATCACCCAAGTGGCTAGTGAAGAAAGGTAACCAAAACCTGCTCACAGAGGGCAATATTAATTTAATGATTATGCAAACTGTTTATGTGGGTCTCAGTTCCTGATAGTTCATTGGTTTTTTCACATCTGCTGCTCTCTTTAGGATACCGTGTTATAATGCCTGACAATCATCATCATCATCGTGCAGCGAAATACAGTGAGGCGAACTTCACTTATCGCTGCCAAACTCGCAATGCATAAAAGGTCGGTGGTAAGATTCAAGGTGGAAACTATTTTGAGAGAGGGGGAAGGTGAACCTCTATGGTCAACATACTGAGTACACAATCGAACTCTACATACATACCGTTTCAAGCATCCTGATCTGATAAGAAATGAATACAAGAATGCCACTGCTGTCGGTTTGCTGCCATATCCTTCAATGTCTCCAACCAACCGGTTGTGGAGTCTTTAGGATTCCAACCTGGAAGGCGAGAGACACCTACTCTACCTAATGACTATGCATATCTTCATTCCTCGTCTCCACGTCATTTGTTGACCTCCACGTGGTTTCCTCCAGCCCGGATTAGCCACAGCGATAAAAGCGCGGTGCGCTAGACGACAGCTGGGCATACGCAATACGTGCCCTAGCCAACGCCGCCTACTAATCTGAATTCGGTATGCTAGCAGGTTTTTCCCTAATAAACTCCCAAACACACGACGACTTACGTCCAGATTACTAACCCCTTCGCTCCATCCCACGTAAGCCAAACTACGTAAACAGTGATTATCGAAAAATTCTAGTCGACGGATATCTTCTGCTCACGAATTCAAGGTCTCACAACCATAAAGCAGAACTAAACCAACGGTAGCACTGTACACAAGACCTTTCAATTTCAGTGAAACGTCGCGTCTACACCAAAGGAGTCTTTCAAACTGAGGCTCGATGAAACACTAGCACATCTTACGTTCCAACATAAGTGAAGCTGCGTGAAGCAGTAGAAAACGCACGTATCACGTGACATTTTACAAAAAGAATTGTATGTATCACTGTTTCTTAATCCACCGCACGAACCTATGGGACCAGAAAAGCATGAGCTTGTAAGTTACTCCCATAATAAATCTTTGAATCTTTGTGTTTCGGTGCTGCGTATGCTGCTCGAGTCTTGGAAAGGCGGGCTGTTATCTCTTTTGCTGCGATACCTCCATTGGTCACACTACTACCTAAGTAGGAAAAGCAATCCACCATAACTAATTCCTGGCCATTTAGTTTCAGAGCGGAAGTAAGCGAAACCCAGTCCTGCAGCATCACTTCGCACTTTGAAGGTGCAAAGCACATACTGAATGTCCCGATAGCGCTTGTTAGTGGGTCAAGTGCGCTTTGCCCGTTTTCCAAACATTCGAACAGAAAGACGATGTCATCGGCGTACTCCAAATCGCACAGCTTTTCTATAGGCTGTCCATTCAATGCCTACGTTTTGGAGTCCCCTTAGTACGTTCTCCAGTATTTCGTCTACGATAGAATTGAACAAGATCGGCGAAAGAGGACACCCTTGACGACCAGTGCACAAATTTTAACTGAAATGTAAGCATATCTCAGCTTGCAAAAGTTAAACAAATACAAATAATGGTAACGAACGGCCTACTTAGTTCGTTGTAAGCCCTTACACGACCGGAGGTATGTAAGTACAGTGACCTCAGTAAGTTAACGTACTTTTGGGGCATTCCTTTTCGAAGAAGGGAGCCTATCAGAGCTTCGCGATCAACTGAGTCAAATGCTCCTTTCAAGTCGAGGAACACTGCAATCGTTGGTCGACGGTGAGTATGACGCGGCTCAAGGGTCTGACGCAACGTAGAAATCTGATCAATACATCTACAGCCAGGCCGGAATCCGGTTTGCTGTTCACGAATGTAGGTCTCTCTTACAAGCGTCAGACTTCGAATTATAACCGAGGCTAACACTTTGGTGACGATCGGGATCTAACTGATCCAGCGGGGGTTTTCGCAATCGTTGCGAGATCCTTTCTTGAAAATAGGAACGGTC